TGTGAGTTACTTGACCCAGGCAAGATTTGGTTTAAGGGAAGATTTTAGCATCTAAATGTCTGTGCTTACCTGTTCTATGTCAGCTCAGACTGCAAGCATTGGACTCTGATTCCAGAGGTCTTTTCCAACCTCAATGATTCTCTGGTGCGAACAGTGACCTCAGAACAAACACAATAAAATCCACTTGGCAAAAGCCCATCCTTCCTTGAGGCATCCAGTGTGGATCTGGAGAAGTTCCTACAGCTTTTCATCAGCACTTCCCAAGAAGGAATTGGAAGTTGAAACACTGAGTGCTTTATGGTGGTATTTAGGGTCATAACAGGAAACAACTTACACAGAGCTTTATCCAAGTGGTAAATCCAGCAGGGTCAATCCCATCACTGACTTGGCAGGACCAGAGCACAGCTGACAGCTCAGCTGGGCCAAGGTGCCACAGCTGGGCTACACACACACCTTTACCTCCACAGGTGAGTCACCACATGCACCTGCTTAGTTACAGAAAACAGCCTGACAACATCCAGGAGCTGCTGTCACCTCACTGTCCCTGCTCATGTGTCCTCACCAACTGCTCTGCTCAATTCCATCTGCTTTCCTGAAAATCTGAGCTGTTATCCCACACAGTGCCAGGCAAGGAGGGTAAAAAAAAAAAAAAAAAGGGGAACAGATCAGGGAAGCCATGCACAGGTTAACTGGAGGATTGGACATCTTGGAGCATCCTTTGTCCAGCTGCACAGGTGAGCAGAAGGAAGACAGGCCAAGGCTAAGCTTTAAGTACAATGGTGCTTTCCTTGAAGTTCTGGTGACACCACGTCATTCTTCTACTCTCCAATTCCCTGACAGGATGCTGTAGCCAGGTGGGGGCCAGGAATTGTAAATACATCCAACCCCCACTCACCCCAAGAAGGTTTCACCTGACTGTACAGCCTTAAAAACAACATTCTCACACAGGGAAGTAGAGTGAGGGACTGAGAAGCAGAAACACAATAAAATAGAACCCATGGGTGCCAAATCAGAGGAAGTAATGAGTTATGGGAACCCCTGAAGAGCCAAGAGGTTCCCCCAACACCACATGTGCCTTGTGCTCTTGCTCTAGAGCTGATCCCAGTTTTACCCAAGTGAGCCCACTGGATCATGGACAGGGGGACTGGCAGCAGTCTGTGATGAAATCAAAGTACCAAACTTGCTACCAAGTCACAACTTTCAAGCAGGAAGGGGACAGTGCTGGGCTTGGTTGAGCACACATATCTCTGCATGAAGATGTCAGCAGACCACCAAGGCCACTCAAGGTCACCCACAAAGCACTGCCCATGGTCAGAGCGAGCCAGGCTTTGCAGGAAGCTGAAAAAGCCAAGATGAAGGTGACAGGAGATGGCTGAGAGGGACAGCACAGGGCTGCAGGACCACAGGGAAGGGACAAAGCAGCCACAAGAGGAAAGGAAGCAAGATGAGCCAAAAGAAATGGGTAAAAGGCACAGGTAAAGCAAAATAAAAGCAATCAAGCCACAGTGAGTTTAAGGGAATTATTTAATGGTGATCAAATTGCAACACAATACAAGAGTACAGGTAGTGTTAGCATAGATCTAGTCACACACACTTCCAGGTGAGGGCAGGATGGGCTGCAGGGATCCCTCCTGGAGCCTCTCAGCATGGTCACTCACACAGGGGGTGGTCTCAATGCAACCTGAAAGCTGGACAGCAGGATGTGTCCTGCTTAACACCTTCCACAGGCACCCTCAGCACTCTTATCACTGTGCATTCTCTGTAGGAAACCTTTCAGCAAACCTCAACAACAGATTTGCAGCTTTGAGCACAGACTTGCTCCAAGCCCACCCAAAGGAGCCAAGGAATGGAAGGTGGTGGTAACTGAGGGGAGTGAAACTCCACTCCAGCTCTCTGTAGGAGAGGGAGGCTTTCCCAGTGCTGAAGGGGTGAGAAAACTTCCCCAAGGTTCTGTATTGAACAAGGACAGCCTTCCCTCCACTCAGATACACCTCTGGGCTTTTATTCTCCCAGAAGGTGATGTCCAAGCTCTGCCTGGACACTGTCATACCTGGAGCCTGACTCCAGGGCTCCTACACCTGGAGTGGGAGCACTGAGCACATTCAGAGGTGGTTTGTTATCCTGGTTCTTTAGAGCAACAACACAAAGAAGTTCTATTGCTTTGAGCAGTTTTCTTCAGTACCTCCCACACTCCCAGAGCTCCTGCCCTGCTCTCCCAGCAAGAGCTGCTAGGGCATGAGGAAATCCACCTTTAACTGGGCAAAGCTTCCCATTGTCCTTCCTTTAAGCTTCTGATCTTCTCCTATACATCAGAACTGAGAACAAGAGCAGCCCTGGAGCCATTTCACTGCTGGAGATGACTAATACCATCAAAAACCACATCCAGGCATTACTGTCAGCAGTCACAGCTACCAAACACCAGGAAAGCCACAGTTCTTGGAGGCACAGGACAGGGGACAATTTGCTGAGCACACAGAGGACACAAGATCATACCCAACTCAGTCCTGCTGGTTTTTCTACATCATTTGATGGGTGCAGGCTGAACAGAAGAGCCTGAGGACACTTCAAGATGCAGCTTACTTGGCAGCATTGGGATGGCATGGTAATAACTCAAAACATTCAAAGTAAATCACTTGCCTTGCCAAAAAGCTGTGATAGAGAAGCAGCAGCACATCCTACTGAAGGCCAAGCCAGGTATTTCCAGCAGTTATCAGGTCTCCAGTACTGCCCAGGATCCATTCCAGTCTGCAGGTCCATGGAGGTCAGGCTCTGAGCCATGGGAATGTTTAAGTCAAGTCCTGCACACCAAGCAGCTGCTCAGCACTGAGCTAGAAGAGGTTCCCAAACACACGGGATCACATTCCTCCTCTGGGTCATTCCATGCAGTGGATAGGCACTGATGAGCACAGGGAATGTATCCAGGCACAGTGTTCCAGCTTTGCTGGGGGGATCTGAGCAGCCCAGCACTTTGTTTAATAAAGCACATTTGCTTAGCATATGATAGGAAAACAGGGAAATTGCATGAGCAATCTATATCCATGGAATTCCCAGCGCAAGGAAAGCCATGCAGAGGGAAGCAGGCAACTGAAAATACTAAAGCAGGTAAAAGACTAGATATGGACAGAAAAAGTTGATGACATGACAAGCTCAGAGTTCCTAGGAAGGCAACAACCAGAGCCTCTGGCCTCGTGTGCTGTTTGACATCACAACATACTCAATGCACAGTAAGTTTCTAGTCCCAAAAATAGCTAAGCTGGGTCAGGTTTTCAGTGACATCCTAGGAAAAAAGGCTCCTTAATCTAGCTCACAGCACAACCAACAACAAATGGTCAACCCACACAAGGGAGAGTACATCCTCCCTCCTCAACCACCACCAGACTTGCTTTTCCCACACCACAGCTGTGGTCATGCCATCAGCAGAGTCTGAGCTGTTGATAAAACACTTCACTGCAAGTGAGACTCATCCCAGCCTGAGCAGATGTGTTAATGCATTATCCAAGCTGAAGCTACTGGATTCAGGACAATTTCAATGCGTCTATGGCTTATTAATGTCCTGTCACCTTGTGTATGACTTCTGCCTACCAGAAAGGGAAACCTCAGCTCCCTCAGTTCTCACTGCTTCCTCATCTCTCTTCCCCACAGGTCTCTGATCTCTTCCAGTGCCGATGACCAGCCACATCTGCCACAAAAATCATCCCTTGCAAAGTGAATCCCCCAAAGGACTTTTGCAAATTAGTCCAACCCTCCCTGTACTTCTCAGTGACCCCGTGCAGACACTTGGAAGGACAACTCCACCACGGCCAAGGTGTGGGAGGGTCCAGCAGCAGCACAGCCACAGCTTACAACAGCTCAGTGAAAGTGACAAACCCAAGCCACAACAGCAGCCACCAGCTTACACCCCAGTTCTGACCATGCAGCAGGTGTTCTCCAGGGCCACACAGCTCTTCACCCAGTCCAACACCAACACCCTGTGGACAACATGAGTGCCAAGGGTGACCACCACTGAGGTTCACAGCCCTGCACACCAATCTCCCCCTCCCCTGCAGCTGTCACCTCACTCAACCATGTGGCCACATGCTCCATTCCCTTCCTAGGGAGGCTCTGCTCCACCTTGGAGTTACCCTGTCCCCAATACCAGCAGAGCCCTCATGCCTCTGGGGACAGACACACCTGAGCACTCCCCCTGACACCAGCGCTGCGAACACGAGGACATCATGAGACAAGTGGAACAGATTTAGACCAAAAGCAGTGGACATTTATTCCTCGTTTGTGCAAGAGTGTCAAGATGCATTTGGGAATGGCTGGGAAAGCCCCTGTGGCCAGAGAGTGGCAGCTCCAGCCTCTCCTGCCCGATGGCTTGGGTTACAATTCTACTAAGAGGAGATAAACTTGCAGACTCACCTACTGTCACACCAATGATGCTGGCAAATACACTTGTATACAAAGAAAAGTTTCAAACTACATTTTTTTTCACTAGATTCAAGTGAAGACTTTGTTCCAAAAAAAAAAAAAAAAGACACATACAAGTACAATTTAAAACTGTATGAACATTTGCAAATGTTTAGTGCAAAGTAATTATGTAAAAGCTACATTTTATGAAAGTTTGTGCTGATGTGTTTGGTAAGTTTTTTTTCTTGGTTTTTTTTTTTTTTTACCCTTTTACATCCATTATTTTAGTTACATAAGGTTTCACTTACCTACAGTACATATGCATTGTGTTAGGTCCCATGCAAGTGGGAGTAATACCATCAGGCTTTGTCAAATGTCACTCTGATTCTCATTTAGTAAACTGCTTATTTGGTTTAACAGTCAAGTTCCTGGCACACTACACATCCTGATTTCATCTAAGTGCTCAAGCTCCTGTTTGCCTCTTCAGGTGCCTCGTGTGATGCAAACCAAACTGCTTCATGACTTCAACCCCAAAGTTGTTTAGAGAGAAATCCACTGTTAGTTTAAGCCTGTAACAAACTGCTCTGAAAATTAAAAGCCTATTCACACAAAGTTATATGTAATGACTGTAGTAATCAGTTTATTACACAGATTAATCATTCTTGAACGTACAAGCTCCAGGGGAGCAGTTGGGTCTTTAAATACACACAAGTTTTCTGTCAAATGGATTTGTTTTTGTTTTCGTTTTTTACCCTTACATCCAGAAAGACCTAAGCAGTTAAAAAAACTTAAGAAAAAGTAAGAGCTATTAGCTAGGTATTAACTGAGAAACCACATACAAACCGAAAAAAAAGTATGAAGGGAGGGAGAGAGTTGAAACAAATCAACATCACTTGATGCACTAATAGCTCCAATCCATTTAAATGGTGACTGGTTCAACTTAGACCTTAAACACAGGATGTGGGTACAGTTTATCTCATTGGTCATAACATTTACCTAAGGTGTAGGTCCTTCAGAATAAAATGAATACAGAAACAGCTTCAAGTTCTTCACCTTGCTTTTCATAACTGTTATGAGTTTAAAAGGATTCCACTTCCAATCCTTCATGGATCAGCAACACCAGCCCTAAGCAATCTGAACCCCACCTTTCCCACTCCCATTGGATTACCCAATTGAACTCAGCAAGGAATGCTTTTAGGCTCACAAAGTTATGACTGAAGAACCAGCTTTTCACACACACACTTCTCTGCTAGGAGTCAATGTTGGTACGGGGAAATACAGTATTTCTAGTTTGTTGTTCCAAGTATGTACAACACGCAGCACTGCTGGATCAGGTAAACATGTGCACAGGGGAAGATGAGGCGTGGGCTCATAGAAAGCAGTCAAATGGAAATCAAAAGGACTTTCTCTTTCAGAGTTCCCCTAGCTTTATTTGTAGAGGTTATCCAATAATTTCTTTAATTACATCGCATACTTCTGAGTCCATTCCCGAGCTATTCTGTTGTACCTGTATGTATAAAAAGAGGATTTACTTAACATCTTGCACAGCATTTCAGCTCCAGCAATCTTGTCTACACATGGCATCAACTCACATTCTCTCCAGTGCTAGCAGCAGTTTGTAAAATTGAAGAGCAAAATGAAATATTAAGTGAACAGGGAAACAGCAGAACCCACAGTGCTTTGTGGAAAAGAAATTCCTGGTCATATTTACAACAGGACATTAGGATTGGAGCCACAAAACTGAGCTAACAACAGGGCTGAGGGGAAAGGATTCTCAGGCAGGCTTTGCCTGTGCCTCCCCCAGCTCCTATCTGCTGTGCCCCTGGGGAAGCTATTACTGCAGGGGTTCATTTGGGCTTTCTGGGAAGTAGAGTAACATGTCCCTCCTATCTCCTCCTTCCCTTAGAAGTTCATCCCAGTACCTCCCATCCACTCCTCTGCCAAACCCCAACAGCCCTGTTTGTTGCTCCACATGGCACTTAGCTATTTTGATGACTATCAGGACTCAGTGATTTGTCCATTAGATAATTCTGAAGGCAGAATATGTTTCAATTCTCAACCCCTGTGGCTTTGGCACCCAAATACCCTTTCCAGGCAGAGGAAGCTCAGGATAGTTGTGTGAAACAAAGCAGTTGTGATTAACAGTGCTGCTGAAAGCTTCTCACAACAGAAAGTAAAATGTTCTCATTCTACAGAAGTTGTAGAGTGAGACACTTACAGCCACAGTTTTCCTATAGTTGCATACCCCAAGCTGGTTCTCATGTTGTAATTTAGTCCCAATGTTCATTAGTTCAAACCACCTGACAATCCACTCAGACTCTCTCCTTTGCATCACTGCTCACAGATTACTCAAGGAGCAAGTCCTTATGCTTCAGCCCCAAATTTATTTCCCTATTTCTGTGAAAAAACAGGAAGGAGTCCTGCATGCAAGCAGTGCTGACTGTCTCCAAAATGTGCTGCTACTCTTGCAGCTCCCATTAAAACAGAAGGCATCAACTTCTCTAACACATCCTCAAGGATGCAGCAGAGTAGGCAAATTTGTGGATCATTTTCCCTTCCCTGATCAGAACTGGAAGGGAACAGTGAGGTAGGAAGTGTTTAAAACATCATTAAGCTGTTAAAAGTGTTTATTAACACTACAGCTTCTCTATTCTTGCCGTTTTGGAGTCCTCCTGCCCCACCTCTACCCCACTTGCTCTTCCCTTGTGCTGTCAAGTGCAGGTGGCACGGGGAGGTTTTCTTATCTCTTTGTACAATTCCAGGCCGAGAGCTGGCATGGAATACTCTCCCTTTGGAGTATCTTGCTCTCCCTCTGCTGGCTATATGGGATTAGAGCAGTTCAGAGCAGCACTGCAGATCCCAGGAAAAATAAAGCCCTGAAAATGCCACAGTTTTTTTGCCTTTTTGCACTCCCTTCTTTTCCAAGAGGCAGAGCCTTTCAGATCCCCCTTGACTGTTAAAGTGTGGCTTCTGCCCTGTCCAGAATGTTACATGTTTTTTTGGCTTCCATACTCACTTTTCTCTATCTGTTTTGTAGATCCGTGCAATCTCAGGCACTAAAGGATCATCTGGATTGGGATCACACAACAGAGAACAGATGGACAAAAGTACTAGGGAGAGAAAAGAGATACTGAATTAGAGTTGCAGTGCAGCTCAGGACACCTGCACAAGTCAGCCCCACACACTTCCTTCCCCTCCAACCAGCAGCATCAGCAGCACTGGTGTGAGATTGCCAAGGTGCAGCAATCCCATGTACTTTAGCCAAGTGATTTTGAACACGACTCTTCACCAGTGAACTACACAACTTTACACGACCACAGTATCACAAGGAGTAACCTCCTCGAGAGGTTAACCCAGACCTGAAAGCCTTCCTGGGTACCATCTTTGCTTTTGCACCTGAAATGCAGCTTTGCCCTAAATCACACTATTAAATGACTTGGAGAATCACACACCAGAAGTCAAACAGCAGACAAATCCAACTGAAATGAAGTAAGCAAGGGCTGTTCACAGCTACTTAAGAATCACAGGCTGGTTTGGGTTAGAAGGACCCTAAAGCTCATCCAAGTTCCACCCTCTGCCATGGGCAGGGACACCTCCCACTAGCCCAGGTTGCTCCAAGCCCCATCCAACCTGTCCCTGAAGATCTGTTGAAAAATACCCTAGTCTTGCAGAGAATGATGAGGCTTTATCCACTTATTTTCCAAGCGTAAGGAAGGTAGAGATGGATTAACTGCAGAATAGCATTCAAAATAACCCAAGCACACCCAACTCCCTGCCCTCCTCCCAACCACAAAGCCCTAGAACTTGAGTGTTCAACTCTAAATATATAGTGCCTATATCCCAGAAGCCACATCCCACTTGGCAGAGTGACAACCCTCAGCCATACAAGGAGCCAGGAGACTGCTGCAAAGCCACAAATAGCACACAAACATTCTTACATTCACACCAGAGGAGAGAAAGCAGGAAGTTACAAGCAAAGCATATTGGGACAACACTACATGTTGGCATGGCAGGGACATCCTGTCCCCCTCCCAGAAATGCCAAACATTCCCTTCTCTCAGCCTGTTTGGATCAAACAGTGCCACTCCATATGTCCCTTCACCAATAGCAGCAATGCAGAGTTGTCACAGAGCAGCCTTTGAGCAAGGAGGAGATGACAGGAGTGAGGAAGGCACTAAACAAACCTGCTCCAACTCCCATCAGTTGCAGGAGGCAAAGCTATCCATGGAAAATGAAAGGAAGCAGTACACAGCTCATAAAAACAAAGGAGTTAAGATAGGATAAAACAAGAGGCCACAATACAGATCACAGATTGGTTTGGGTTGGAAAGGACATGAAAGCTCATGTAGTTCCAACCCTCTGTCATGGGCAGGGACACATTCCACTTGGCCAGGTTGCTCCAAGCCCCATCCAACCTGGCCTGGAACACTTCCAGGGAAGGGGCAGCTACAGCTTCTCTGGGAAACCTGTGCCAGTGCCTCAGCACCCTCCAGAGAGAAGAGGGAAATAGGTCTGATACACATTGGAAGTGGAGAAGAGGGTTTGTTCAAAGTGGGACCAAAGTGAAAGGTTCCCTAGGTCTGAGGGAGCTGCTCTGTGGTGTGAGCACCAACAACTCAAATCCCAATCAGTTCAGTTTTCCCACCTATTTCTATAGGCCCTTCGCTAATGAATTATCAATTCCAAGTTCAAAGTTTCCAGAAAAAGTTTGGTAATAAACTGGTCTTGATTTCAGTGAACATATTTCTAGTTCTAGAATAAAGTGTAACTTCCTCCCCCTTTTCCCCCCAATTTTCTACTGTACACTCACGAGAGAGTTAAGAGATTAATTATCCTCTACCACCAACTGACACTTGGACCATTTATCCAGGTCCCTCTCAGAACAGAGCTCCAGAGTGTGAAGGAGGCCTGTAGAAGCCACCACTCCTGACCTGCTGTCCCTTAGCAAGGGACACAGCATGTTTAGCACCTGTAGCACAGCTCCAGCACCAATTCTGTTCCCCCATGTACTCTGAGTACAGCCCACATTAGTGCTCAGTGGGAACCTGTGCCCCTCACCCAGCTGCTCCTGGTCACCACAGCTTCAAAACAGCTGCTTTTCCAGCTTTTCTCCTGCAGCTCATTCCTTTGTATTTACCACACTCCACTGCTCTGGTGACTGAAGTTTCTTCAGCTGTAGGATGAGTGAGACAGCTCAAGTCTGTCCCCTGCCTTCAAGGGAAGCCACAGGAATTCCAATCCAAGTTTTCCAGTCAACAATTTTAACTATTCCATCAAGTTCTGAAGGATCTCAAGGACCACCACCAACTATTCCCTCAAGTTCTATCCTGCCACAGTCCTTTAAAAACCAAGGACTTGTCTGAACACAATGAACACTCCCTCTTGCTGGTGACTTCACATCATTCCCTTTTTAACTGCACAGCCTCAGCAAGAAAAGCATTTTTTAACTACATATCTAAATTGGTTTAAATATCCTGCTGTACCCAGGTATTGGTCCAGAATCAATTCAGGTAGTTTCCCTCAAGGCTTTCCACTAGAGCACTGCGCATACACGTGTTAGACCAACCAACATAAAGAGCCTCCAAGACCACCACAGAACCACCCCCTGGAAAAGGCACATTCTCAAAGTCTAAGGAGCCAAGTGCAAGGGGAAAGAGGAAACAATCCTTAAATATGTCAGTTGTGTATCAGAGTCCTTTGATGCATCAGAGTAATGAATTAAACAACACTGAAGCAGAGACTCACCAGAACACCTCTTCTATAATCATATATTGCTGCAATGAATTCCATAGCAAAGCCTTGACATTTACTAATGAAATGACAAAGACATTAGCAAAAAAACGAAAAAGCTCCCAAAAAAGTTTTGGAGTGACAGAATCAGGCTGGATAACTACACAAGGCAAGTGACATTTGTACATCTTGTCCTATTCACCCTGCATGACCACAGGCCAAGCAGCTTGAAAGCAGCACTTTTCAGCCTGTCACTGATGCACCAGAACTGTGCACTCTGCCAATTTCGGTCTAGATTTTTGCCAGTAATAGTGAAAGAAGTTTTACTTCCATTGATTCAATGAGTTCATCCCTTGCAGTAACTCTGTACAGCTATTTCTCATCTCTTCACTCATAGCTGACAGTTATCCAGGCTGTAGCAGAACACTAAGCAACTTAAAACTCTCAGTTTAAAGCTTCCTTTCACTCAAAAACCTTTTACTTGGTTTTATTTGACCTCTAACCCTTCAGATGTGCTCCCCATCTATCTCTGCAGACAACAAATACAACTTACTCTTTAGTGAGCTTCCTGCTGCCATGGACTACCACAGACCAAGTACTCCCCAAATACTGAGGAATGGGGGAACCAACCTCAGCAAGCAGAAAGGCTGCTAAAAAGTGGTTCTAAAAATGGGCTCAGTTTTCCTCACAGAGCAGTGATACCAATGTCCTCTCACCAGGCAGAACAAGCACTGAACACATAATATTAAGGTCACTTGAATAACATGCAACATGAGGCCCAGCACACCACAACTCAGATCCAAGCTCCTCCTTTACAAGGCACATAACACCAAAATTCAAGGACAATTTCTCCAGCAGAAAATCATGCCATGTGCAGCTTGTCAACAAGACTAGCTACAGTTCAGCCCTGTGCGATCCACCTCATCTTCTCATCAGGCTGCTGTGCTGTGCCCTCACCCCACCAAGAGCAGCCCATGAGCAGCTTCACCTTCCTGGTTCTGCCCCACCTCAGACTGAATGTGTGGGTAGATGCAAATTCCATATGTAAATTCCATGGGTGAGTTTCCTGTGCTAAGAAGCAGCTCAGTTACTAGTCAGGACAATCCATGATGTCAGCTCTCCGCAGATCCTTCCAGCACTAGCCAAAGAAGCAATGGGGAACACAATTTAAAGCACATTTGCCTACTGGAACATCTGTTGGCTCATCCAAATTTCACAGGCATATTAAAGGTCCTGGAACTCAGAAGTGAAGAGACACTTAAAAGCTGCTGGTCACCATCTCCACTTCCTCATCTTCCCAACACAACCCCCAGATCATTCACCTGGTCTGGAAAGCCTGACTAGTCTAATATGCACCACTCCAGCTGTCCCCTGACACAGGGTACAGCCGCTGTAGTCACTGGTCTAGCTGGAACACTGAACTTGCTCCAGTAAAGCACTCATCCATGAGACACTTCAGGGTAAGGAAAAGCAACTGAGGGGCAATGGAATCTCCATCTGAATCACAGCAGGGAGATAAGCACCAATTCTTCCCTGGTAATGAGCTACCCAGAAGAAACAACTCCTGTGCCCTGATCCAACAGTTGTTGGTGCAGTTACTGCTCTCCCAAGAGGAGCCCATTTGGAACCCATTTGGGAGTAAAGGTCCATCTCTAAGCAAGCACAGAGACTACACCAACAAAATGGTTGTTAAAACACCAGGTAGGTGCTGAGATAGTTGCTTTGCATGCCAGGATGGATGACACTTCTTCAGCTCTCTGTCCCAGCAGAAGTTGCACAGGAGTCTTGGGATCAACATATAATGAAAAGGTCATTCATTGCCATGGAACAGTTGGATAAAACAAGGAAGCATCAATCCCTGGCCATCAGGAGTTCACAGCCATGACAGCAGCACACACCCCTGCTCTGTCCCAGGTGAATGCAAACATTGTGCCTGCAAGGGCTTTCTGTGGAAAGAGATTTGCCCCCTTCCGGAGACCAGGCCATGGGCTCTGGCAGACAGCAATGTGCCTCCTCACCCAGCCAAGTGTCTGAATAGGGAACTAAGTTTGTCAGCTCAGGTTTAACTGAGCCTGGTGTGCTGGGGATTGAGGCACCTCTGCTAGCACAGATGGGAGCTTTGGACACAATGCTGCTAGGGAATTCTTAATTCCACTGCAGAGGCTTTATCCAGCTGTCCTGCTCCTCTCAGCAGTGAGCACCCCTTTGCTGATCAGCCTGGCAACCTCCACATCAAGGTCCACTGCTACTTTCACCTCTATTCCTCAAAATTAGGCAGAAACCTAACTTCTGGAAGGAGCATTCTGCTATACAGTCACTACTTTTGAGTTTCAGGCCACAGAGCCTTGAAACTCTTGGGGCATGGAGTTGTCAAAGTTTTATCAGCACTGACAAATGTTAAGTTTGTACAATTAAACAGAGTGAAGACATCACATCAGGTTCCAGTGACTGACTCCCGGCTGTGAACAGGCAAAAGATGCAGCCAAATAAAGTAGACCAACTTTGGACTCTGCTTGAGTTAAATCCCATTTCCAACTCTTCCAGCAATCCTCCCCAACCTTACAGCAAGTGTACCTTTAAATCTGAGCAGTTTAAACTTCTGCCTTCAAAGCAACTTGAATTCCTGCTAAGTCACTTCAACAATTTCTGGTAACAAAAGAAGAGAAGTTAAGTGTGGCCTAGTGTAGACCATCCTGTCCAGCCCCTGCTCAAGTACAGCCACCTCAGGCAGGCTGCCCATGAGTGTGTCCAGGTAGCTGTTGAGTATCTCAAAAGTGAGAGGTCCCACCACCTCCCAGGGCAACCTGTGCCAGTGCTCAGTATCCTCAGAGTTTAAAAACTAGACAAAGTGTTTCCTGCTGTTCTGAGACCTTCCTGTGCTTCAGTTCATGCCCACTGCCTCTTGTCCTGCCACTGGACACCTCTGAGTCTGTCACCTCTCACCCTCCCTTCAAGTAGTTACAGACACTCATTAGATCTCCCCAAGCCTCCTCTTCTTTAGGCTGCACAATTCCAGCTCTCAGCCTGTCCTCACAATGGGAGATGCTCCAGTCCCTCCATGGCCTTTCACTGGGCTCTCTCCAGCACATACATCCATGCCTTCCTTGTCCTGGGAGCTCAGCACTAGACAAATGCTCCAATTGCAGCCTCACCAGTGCCAAGCAGAAGGGAAGGATCACATCCCTCAACCTGCCAGCAGCACTCCTATTTTACAGCCTCCTTTGGAGCAACAACTGGGAAGCTGCACAAGTGGCTACATTACAGCTGAGAGCTGAAATGAAAAATGGGTATTTCCCTCAGAACCCCAACTCAGCACACCTGGAGAGCCTGAGCCACCCCCAGTTATTTGGGGAAGTGCTACAACAGGCAAACTAAAATCCAGGAGGATGATCAGAAACCAGATTTCCAGTTCTGAAAGCTGCACTAGTAAGGTCCAGTTCATTTAGGATGCTGGGCACTTTGGAATTCCCACCCAGTAAGTCTTAGTGAAGTGGTTCTTGAAGAGCAGCATCACAGAAAATCCACACTGGGCATGGAAGTTTGGACAGTGGGAGCTGAACTCTTGCATGGATGAGGCTGAGATTACTCACTGGCCCTCACCAGACAGGGCCCTGCAGCACATTCCAACAGGCTCCATTATTCCTTAGTTACAAAACACAGGGGGAAGTGGGACAGGACAGAGCAAGTTAGTCCAACCTTTACTGCAGAAGTGCTCCAGCGCAGGATTAAGTCTTGCACATCCACTTGCCACGTTCCAGGGTAAGTGTGGGTTTTCCCTGAAAGTGGCTGAGCACAGCTGTAATCCTGTTAGAACACTTCATTCTCCCATTTAAGGCAACAGGGATTCTTACTTTGCAGACTTGGAGATAAGTTTTAATTTAAGCCTACACATTCTGCTTAAGCCTTACAGTTTAATTTAACCCACAAGGTGTGGAAAAGACTGTCTTTAGATGATTTATTCTCCAATATGTATTCTTTAAAGCACACTGAGCTCAGCATTACTAATACAAGCAAGTCAGCTGTCATACTGTTTCACAATGTGTTTTAACAGGTCTAGGAGGGACAGAACAACCACCCAAAATCACCTCTATCATAGCCACCATCACTTCATCAAGTTGCTACAGAGGACCCCAGAGTGAGGAGCCAAGAGCTTTAACCTTCAGAATCATAGAATCAACCAGGTTGGAAGAGACCTCAAAGATCATCGAGTCCAACCCTACCGTCATTACTAGACCATGGCACTAAGTGCCACATCCAGTCTCAGCTTGAAAACCTCCAGGGATGGTGAATCCACCACCTCCCCAGGCAGCCCGTTCCAATGTCATCTCTTCCTAATATCCAACCTAAACCTCCCCTGGCAGAGCTTGAGTCTGTGCCCTCTTGTCCTGCTGCTGGTTCCCTGGGAGAAGAGACCAACCCCCACCGGACTCCAACCTCCTGTCAGGGAGTTGGCAGAGGGTGATAAGGTCTCCCCTGAGCCTCCACTTCTCCAGGCTGAACACCCCCAGCTCCCTCAGCCTCTCCTCATGGCACCTGTGCTCGAGTCCCTTCACCAGCCTCACTGCTCTTCTCTGGACCTGCTCCAGCACCTCAATATCCTTCCTGAACTGAGGGGCCCATTGACCTGAGATGAAGAAATAACCAACATGCTTTTTCACAGTCTTTCCACCAAAAAGTGGCCCTCTAAGTCCCAAGGAAGTCAGCTGCAGACACTCCTTCCCCTCTCTCCTTGCAGGTTAAGGTGAAAAACATGTTCATGTCCCATATATTACCCTGAGCCCATGCAAGCTGCTGACAGTGCTGCCTCAGGACAAAGCTATGCAGGATAAGCTCTTTCCTAGAAGGACAACAATCTCTCCAGACTTCTCAATCAGTAGAAAGTACTTTTATTATAGCTGTGCTCTAGTTATCTGCTTACAGATTTGAAATTCAGTTTTCTCCCAATAGCATTTAAAGGGTGGCACAATTTAGGAAATACTCTAAGAAAACTACACTACAAATGCTAAATTGCTGCTTTGGAAGGGATGTGAGCTTATTGCTGAATGTCTTAATAGTCTTGTTAGTGACTCTAAGTTATTAAATCCAACAGCTTTTCCTGCTAGCAACACATCCAGTCTTGGATAAGACTAATCAGAGTTACTAGAGAGCTCAAACAGCCCCAAAGTCTGTCATGACACAGTTCTAACCTGACTGAACACAAGACTGCCACCGCAAAAGGTTCAAGTTGCCTCTGTGGAATTTATTTACACTTGTACGAGATGGGAACACTTCCTCTAAGTATCAGCTCTCTGCTCCTGAAGATGCGGTCAGATTTCTGATATGACATCCCTGTGATCATCAGCAAAATATTCTGAATTTCTATGTAGTCACATGTAAGGATTGGTTTTGCTGCTTTAATTCCTTCAGCAAACATACCCCAAGGGAACTGGGACAAGACTTCCTCCCAGGTTAGAGCTGTGTAGATGTTGTGCTATGTGCAGCAGAGTCCGGGCATTCAGGTGAACTCCTCTGCAATGAGTGAGAAGTGCTGAGCACTACAACACTCCTGATCTTAGGGGCACACTGGGCGTGAGGTGGGGCAGAACTTCAGCTGAGCCACAGGGTACAGTTTGAAAAGGATAAGAAGGAGTTCAAAGCAGAAAACATGAGACTGAGATGTTAAACCATATTGCAAATGTATTTAAGTAGCAAAATGAACATTAAGATCTCTTTTGAATGACGAAAGCTGACAGCCATTTCCAGGCACTGCACTGCTGCCTCTCTGAAATTCTTGCCCTCTTTTCCCAACTGTCCTAGTTCCAGTCTATCTTCCAGTAGTTTCAAACACCACTGCCCACATGGCCATTTTAGACTCCCTAAACCAACCACCACAGCACTCTACCTAGTTACACTGCAATTAAACCAAACCAGAGCAGCCACCTGTGCTTGGTGCCAACTTGGTGCCTCTACCAACACCCAGTACTGACTGAGAGCACTGGAAAGGAAACTGCAGCAACCTGGAAATCATCTTCCCTTTACTGACACCACTTTTTCCCCTTCTTGCAAGTCACAGCAAAGACTTTCACCCTTGTGCACTGGCAGACAAGGAGATACTTTTTGCTTTTGCATCTGTTTCTACAAATGCCTTAGCTGGACAGAGAAGGTGAAAACTTCCATGGGTTCAGGGAAGGGGAGACAGTAAAGATGTCCATGGGATGTACCAGGAGTCACCTGGCTGAACCAAAAAGTGCTCAAGAACATCACATGGAGCTGGAGAGGAGGACAGACAACAAGAGCAGGGAATGTGAAGGATAATGCCATCAATGTGACAACTGCAGCATGTGGTGAGAAGGACAGTGTGAAGCTACAAAAGAGACGGGTCAAAACATAGTCCATGTTTTGACAGGGTATAGCCAAAACAGGCCTAAACAGCCATGACTAGATTTACAAACCACATCTACAGTTTGTTAATCCGCAGCTTCAATGGCCAGAAATATTGTAACCTGGAATACAACCAAAATTCCAGAAAAAGTCCAACCTGGCTGTTAATTGAAGGGGTTTAAAGCTTCCTATTTACACTAAAGATGACTATTTATTAAATATAAATATGCCTACATTACTATATATACTATGATCCATGACTATATCCCAGTGCTCCACAAGCTACCACAGCTCACAGGGCTCAAGATATTTTTAGCTAGTAACAATTTTAGCTGGAACAAGTTTTAATCCCTGTTTCTGCAGTTCATGCCATTGGAAGTTTTGCTAACAAATTACCAATGTGGAGTTCTGACACTCCTTTGAAAAAGGGAATTTCCCTTACTATGTCAAAGAATTAGAGCAACTTTACCATTTTGAAGCCACAGGTCCTCCCCTACATGTTTTATTTTGAGCCCTAAAGTCTTCCATTTAACAGTAGGTTTCATTTTCTGCATTTTTTTTTATAGTTTAAGTGTTCAGACTCTGAGGTGAGGTGACAAGAGCATGTACTCAGGGTGATAAGACTTATCTGATCCACTGGCAAAACTGAAGAGTGTCCCTATGGCCACAGGGAAGCTGGATGAGCATCCTGCTCTCAGGAACTGCAGAGCCCCAAGACTGAAGCAGTGCCCACAGGAATGGTTGATGCCAGCA